TGATAGTACTGTAAAGAATGATGAGTTGGAAAGTACAGTGAATTAAGCGGTCGTGGCCTATTTTAAGGCACTGTCCTTGGATTGGGAGGGAGTGTGGAAAGCCTCAAGGAATCGCAATCATAATAGCCGGTCGTCGGGCCGAGATTTGAAACCAGGACTTCCGGAATTCGAAACAGGAGTGATAAGCACTCGGTTGTGACTTCAGATACTTAACTGCGTAAAATTTGCTGGTGCACGGTGATTATTACATAAGTAAATAAATTTATATGCGTGGATTTATGTGCGGAGGGTAATTTTGTGGTCGGAGGATCTCAAGAGCGAGGGAGGACAGACCTTTGTAATCCAGCAGCTCTCTTGTTTACCAGAGTATCCACAGGTACAGCCACTGACAGAAGTCCTAAGAACAGTTTTGTGGGTCTTACAAATAGGACCTCTGTGTGTAGGTAGTGTTAGCTTATGTAATACATTCATTTATTATTAACGTAAGTTATAACCATGACAAAGTTGAACCAAGTAACCTAAATTTATTAGTAAGTAGTTTTATGGGTGTTTAACGAAGTTCACGTCACATGTATGTGTGTAACTATGTTATAAGTTTCAACTTACAGATTTCTCTAAGCGTATGTGGAAGGAAGATATTAAAATCGATTTTAAGGGAACAGGGCAGCGTTTCATCCTGCTCAGGACACGGATTAATGATGGACAATTGTGAACATGGTAATACATTGTCATTTATCATAAAAGACGGAGAATTTCATGGTTATCTGAGGGACAATTAGGTTTTCAGTGACTCTTTTTCATAGGGTTAGATTTTTTAAGCTATGGATTCGTTTCTTAAATGTCGGTGCCAATTAAATACAATTTTTATCTTATAGTTTTGAATATTTTTGGTTTATAAAAAGTCGGAAATGGCACGTTAGCACGCAAATATAAAACGAAGATAAATCTTTAAATTATGTTTAAAATAAGTTGGTTTGTAAAATGTTAAAGGAACTGAAGGTTGATTGAGGAAATTATGGTCTCTGAATTTAACCGCGTGTGTGTTGCATTGGTATTAGTTGGTATTTAACTGATATAGTGTTTGAATTTAGCTTATACGCACGGTTTATGATATGTCTTAAGACAATTATGATTTATTTTAGCTAAGGATGATTGCCATTTGTAAATGGCTAAGACTAAAAAGACGAAACGTTTCTTGGGGCCGTGGAAGGAATGCATCTGAGGGACAGAAAATAAGTGTGGAAATTAGATAAATATATGTAAGATTTGAGGTTTTCACAGCGTTGAGTATGAAGATTTCTTCAAGATAAATATACGTAATGAAATGGGAAAATAAATTACAGTGGGGATCAAAATTATAGTGTGTGTGTTACGCAAGTACGAGCTGAAAATTCTCCTGTGAACTTGGTCGTGTCACATACGAGGAAACTAACTAAAACAATAGAAAGGCGGCTTATCGATCCGTTAGCTCAGCGTAACACGTCTGACTGACTTGCAGGCCTGTTTGCAGCGTTTGAATCCCTTCCAGATAATTGGGTGTCCTGGCAGGCTTTTAGTGATTTTATGCTTTCACTTGGGATGAATATCGTGATATTTAACCTTTATACAGTTTCGTTATCATCTTTGCATCTCATTCTACACTATATGAAATCAACAACTTTAACAGCACATTCATATGAAGCATCTATTTCTTAAAAATACAGTTAGCGTATTTAACATCTTCCAAACCATACTATTTGTTAGAATTTCCAAGATTCGGTTTAATACGAAGTGGAATATGATTTTTCCCACTGAAATATTGGAATAACAACGTATGAAGTATATAATTTGATCGTACTTTGAAGGTAATGTTGTCTTTAGTACCATTCATACATTTTAACCTGAGCATTAGATAGAGGTGGGTGACAGCTGCACGTCTTTGCCTGTTTATTCCCAAGGAAAGATCCCAGCAGCCAACGGATAGGAGACTGGGTGGGCCCCAAAACAGGTATGGATGTTCAAGATAAAAAACACATCGTAGGTGTAACATTTAGCTGAAAAAGGTGGGAAATAAATGTTCTTATGTTCACGACAGGACTAGTTACGTGGAGTAATACAGTTGTACTCCTGTTAGTAGTTGTTTTGTGCCTTAATGTGTGTACCCTAACTCAGCGCTTAAGTTGTCTTTAAGATGGATACTCTGTGCCTGTTCTCATTTCCAGAACATATATTTCACTTCGTACCCCTGTCGACCACCAGCCCCAGCCCCAGCCCCGTTTTCCAAATATTATCGTCGATATTTTGTAGCCAACGAGTACAGTAAGCCTCAGTTCTTCCCCCCCCCCCCACCCCCCAACTTTGCTTCTCCCAGAAGCGGAAGTTACTATGATTTGTGGGTCGTAGCCCGTGCTTCTATCCGTCTGCTTCCACGGAGTCTCTCTCTGTTCCTGCCATCAGTTAGTAGCAGAGCAGAGCTATTAGCCTGAGGGAAACAGATGACACTCGATAAGTGGTAAAGAGTAAAGCATGAGGTATATAGGAAAAGAGAATGAGAGGGAATTGAGTTCGGGGAATGGGTCTTTGGTGGTTATTGGTGGCCATGTTCGCTTTTCACGGAGAACGGGAAAGTTTCATATCGTTCAGTTTTGGGTTGCAGTGAAGTTACGTAAGGGAAGAGAGAAACATTCGGCCTACATAAAAAAATAATATGGAATCTGACGATGTTACTTGAGGGATTTCTGGATAAGAATTGTTATAAAATGTTACCCGTCTAAATGGAACCTAACTTATGTTTTGTTTTATGTTTATTTTAACGTTTGAATAAAGTTGCAGAAAATATGGTTGTTTCAGGAAGATAAGGGAATAAAGATGTTTTAGAACTTTTTCACGACAAATATAATATATCTATTCTTCGTAGTGTACTGTTCGTCGGTCTGATACAGAAAAATGCGAATTTTTACAGCTATAATTTCTATGTTATGGTGATAAGCATTTGTAGCCGAATACTATGTAAATAATATTTAAAGATTCAGGTCTTACCACAGAGGAAACACAACGCTTAATCGCAGAGATCGGTTGGTTAATGTTGTTTAAAGAAATAATCGCTGTTTGCTCTAAGAATCATACGAAACCCAGCGCCATGATGATAGCGGCAATAAGCACGTATGAAACGTCGGTCAGTTTCTAAGAGATAGCCATCTCTATACCCGTCTCCGTGAGAACCTGAAACCTTACTTAACGTAACTTCCAACACAATTACTGCATCGAAGGAGAAAAAAACTCTTCCATAGTCATTCATGGAGTCTGTGGCCAGTTAACACGCTGCTTGAAGTTAGAGCGTATATTGGAATTCTACGACGCGCATGCGGGCTGGGACCCTTCATTATAAATATTTTCCTATACTTCTATAAGTTTCTTGTTTTAGACCCAAATTTCCTCCTCAGCACCCCTGTTCTCAAACACCTTCAGTCTGAATTCTTTCCTCAGGGCGAGACACGAAGTTCCACGCCTATACAAAATAAAAGATACAGGTATCTTGCTTTATAAATTGAGTATAATTTGTTTTAATACACGGCATTTTAGTGCCTGTGAGCAATAGACGTTTCTTCCAGAAATTAAGCTGTCTTGAGTCCAGTTAAAACGTTGCACTGGAATACGGAACTGCCGAAGGGTGTTTGTATACGCGTTCCTTTATGTACAAAACTGCACGAAGGCGAAAATAAAAATTGTTCATTTCCCTGGTTATGGAATATTTTAATATGTAATACTGTTTTAGGAGAAAATGCAAATAAAATGACTATTGCTCTCCGAGCATAAAATATTCACGAAAGAGAAAAAAGGATTATTTCATGAGTAAACTTTCTACTCTTGCATTGTTTCTGCAGTTATTTTTCTTTAGAAGTCCTGTGTAGTCTACCGCTCACACACTTCTACGCAAAACTGAAGAGCCATATATAGATATAAAGCTGAAATTTATGAGCTACCGTGGGGCTGAGTGCCACAACTTTCAAATAACAAACGTATGGATTACTGATTACATTTATATGTATCTGAAAGAGAATACGCAAAGAACCTTAGGTCTCAAAAAGAATCACAATTTCACGAAATTTGTTCGGCCGTCTTCGTGTTTCGGATCCAGTTATTGAACACATCTGAAGTCTACCAGTTTTACGCTTTCAGTAGCGTTGTGTATAAACCACGAAGTTGCTATTTCGCTTAACGAACAGACCTCTCACTGAATAGTCCACCTTTCGAGACCTCGTCGTTTTA